GTGCGGGGTCTTTGAGGCAGTCCGGGGGCACATCCCGACGCTTTTTCTGGAAAAAACTGCTCCTATTCTTGATTATACTGATTGTGAGATAACATGACACCAGAAACCCATAGAATACGGCTATTAAATTGGTCACAACTTTGGCCATAATAGGAACTTCCACTTTAAGCTCCGGTACTTTAGTTGATTTGTTACTCATTTTGATTCACGATTAATATAAAATATTTTAAATCACCGAAATATAGACTCAAAACTCATCGAAATACAGTATCAATCACTTAAATAGTAAAATAAAATGACTGTAATGTTACGAATGCACTGAAAGCACTCAAATATACTTAAATAGTACTTAAATAGAGTGCGATACACTTATGAAATATTTAAAGGTTACTTGTGTTTATCTCCCATTACTATTAAACATTATTAATACTACTAAAAGTTAGTCTAAAGTCATAAGAATTAGTTGAAAAGTTGTAGTTCAAGGTGTTATCTACCGTAAAATGTTTAATTCATATTTATAAAACTATTTATACTAAACTAACAAACAAAATATGTACCGGTTTCTAGAGTTATACTTTATAAATTATGTTTTAAGTTATAATTAGATTTCATTAAAAATTTATTATTTATTGCAATCAAAAGTATTTTTAAATCCATCTTTTGACATACAATTAGTAGAAATAATAATCACAAAAAATGCTATACAACAATATTTATCAAATGCAAATATTAATATCATTAGTGAATCGCTTTATTTATTTCTCAAATGTATGCGTTTGTGTTTATTAAGGCTATAACTAATGCGGAAACTTTTGCCGCAATCTTTGTGGTCACAAACGTACGACTTTTCTCCCGTATGAATGCGTTTGTGTTTAACAAGTACTAATTTAATTGTACTCTGTATTATTATTACAATAGTAAATTTAATGCCGGTATAATTTATCAATGATTGAATGTTATTTGTAGAGCATAATAGAGTATTAGTAAACTTAATATCATAACTATTTCTTAACCAAGAACTGTCTCATATATTTGTTGACCAGATCCGGCTGATCCATTTGTGTCCAATGGGAACAGTTCTCGATGTAATGCAGTGTCAGGTCATCCACGTGCTCATGAGCTTCGGCTAACTGTGAGGTCAGGTATTTGTCTTTCTTACCTACAAATCAATACAAAAAATCAATTAATTCCCAAAACAAACCACATGTTAATCACTCAATAAATACCCCAAACAATGAGCGTGGGCACTTTAATTTGCATATTTTTTGGGAGTGGGTTTTTAGGTGGGTACCGTTTGATACTGGCCCGGTACCAATTCAATGGCGCGGTGAACCCATTCTTATGGAAAGTATACTTATATGCCTCCAACTGGTCGTCCGGCAACAGTGGCCTCCCGTTCCCATTGATGAACGAGTAGTCAAACGCGAAGTAGTCGTTACTTTTCAGCGCAAACTCCGGCAGCACCGGTAGACTGAAGAACAACATATACCACGAGTAGAGGAACTGTTTCCAACTTTTCCGTCTAAACATCCCCGGGTGTGGGCTATTGATGATCACCAGCTTCTGGACCAACTCGGGATACTTGGCCGCCATTCCCCACCCGACTATACCTCCCCAGTCGTGGGCCACCAGAATAATGTCCCTTTTGTTGAGCGCCTCCACCAGTTGTCGCGTGTCCTCCACTATCTGGTCGATCGTGTAGTTCTGAGTGCCGGTAGGTTTGTCTGTGTCTCCATATCCCCTGTTGTCCACTGCGATCACGTGATAGTCTTTGGCGAACTCTTTCATCTGATGCCTCCACGAGTACCAGAACTCCGGGAATCCGTGAATGAAAAGC